GAGCAACCTCCGTCTGCTGTTCCCAAAAACAAAGTGTGGGGGCGACATGTCATGAGGGGCGGTGCTTCGTGACATCAAATCAGCTTCTGAAGTCTACATAGTCTGCACCAAAGCTCGTCAAGCAGTGTCTTATGCCGACCAAAAAGTCTACAATACCCATTCATGGCGTGCTCGCCTTTCCCTGGTCTTCTCGTCGGGTATATAAACCCTCGATTTGCTTCTCTTCTTCTTCCCCAATACCTTACAGAAATAGAAACATTTACCGAAAAAACAACGCGATCAAGATGCGATGTCTGCGCGAGAATCTTTCCTCTCGACATAAGTCTCAAAACCGACCACCGGTATACGCATGACCTGTCCGTGCTGTTCGAGTCGACAAAGATCGATTGCCATTATGGACATGGGCAGAGAGGCCAAAAGAATCGAATTGAAGGCTATATGGAGATCCTACCGCGGAAGATCAAAAGACCTATCTTCACTGCATATGGAGTAAGGAGAGTTTAGATGGCCCAACTTATCCATCCATCTGAAAATCAGAAACAAGAAGTCTATGGAAAGGAATTTCTAATGCTTCTATTGTACACTTACTTCTAAATGGTGTAATAAGAACTTCCATGTTCCGGAAGCAGCCTCCAAAATTCACCCCTTAGTATCGATGTGGCCGAGGGTGTTTTCAGCTCTCTAAATAGTCCACCGGCTATATTCATGTCGCTACGTCTCAGAATCTGCCTGCTCGCTATGTTGATGTTAGCGCGGGCTGCTTATAAAAGAGTCTTGCTGCCGCAAATGTACTAATCTCTTCCTTCATACCATCTGCAGCCAAAAGCTGAGACATTACCAAAAATACATTTGCAGATACACTATGTTGTTCGGCGCTCCGGTTCTCTTCCCTGGCCAGCGTCCAAAATCAAGGACACAAGCGTGCATGTTTCGCCTTTGCCAGTCGGCACATTCTTCAATATGTAAGAAGAGAAAAGCTCGATACCGAATTCTTCATGTTGTGGCGCGCGCGGTTGGTCTTAAAGCCTTGGTTTCGATGTTTATGACTTGTAGATGAACCACGCAATAGTCATGGAGGGCTTCCTGATTATCCTGCAAAATCACATCATTTGAAAAGAGTGTGAGAAGCCGCTGGCTCCAAAAACACCGCCGATTTCTTCCCACGTCACGGCTTCGAAATCAGCAACAACCCCGACATGAACTCTTTTGAAGCACTGCGCAGGTGGTGTATGGACCTGAGTCGATGGTTCCCAGCTCTATTCCATGAATCTGGTCGGTAATTCTACTTGAAGCATAGTCTGGCAAAGCCAGTGGGACTCACTATATAAGCCCTATTCTTTGCGCAGTCCTCGCTCCAACTTCAAAATCATGTTTTTTCTTTCAAGATACTAAAAAGAGTTCCTGAACGCACTATGGAGCTTGCTCCGTGCTGGCACCGTTGATGTACTAAAGTGGTGTTTTCTCCGCGCCGAAATATCTCAGGAAACGCATCATGTCTGCGGAGATAGTCTGGAGTGCCTGCAAAATCGCGACTCTGGGTTCAATATGTTAGATTGGGAAAAAAACCCTGCTAAGTTTGTTATCATAGGGTGGATAGAGTGCGCCTTTCACGCTGGTCGGGACACATATTTAGTCCGAGCTGGTTGTTAAAATGTAATCTTGATATGCCGTCTGATTGCGATAGCTTTGATAGGATTTTGTCGTGGCTAGATGAAGTGGGGATGACGAAGCGCCGATGGGGTGTTGACAAATTCGCTGGACCGACTTGGTTAAACGTAGATCAGAGCCACTGAGGAGATTAACAGACAGATAAGAAAGTCAAACAGATAGTTCGTGAACGGGTCTACGACTAGGTATAGTAGCACCAAGTACAGTCGTATTTCGCATTTCGCAAGACTCTTAGCATGGGGTAGTAGTTTGGTGGTGCTCAGGGTCTGACAAAAACACGAAATACGAAACACGAAGAACGTGACTGGCGATGGTAGTGAACGCGACTACACCTATCTTCACTGTCTTCGGCGATTTATGCCGCGCCCATATAACGGAGTACGTCGTTCTGGCGTCCTGGTAGACGGCCACTAACGGGTTCTCAAATGTTTAGCGACGGAACGGAGTCTGGGTCCTTCAACGACTTCCGGTCGATTACGCCACCGATTGTTTTCCCTTCGTCCCAGGACGAATCAGCCACAGGCGGACTGTTCTCCAGGATCTATCCGCATGTTCCAACGCCACACTACATTAGTAGGTGCCTTTGGCGAGTCTCTACCACGTGAAACTTCAGGCACATACTGATTCGGACAGGGTTGACGTGCATCCTGAAAGAGGACCCCGGATAGTGTCAGGCCGAGATGTGAGCCACCGTAGCGCGCCTCGGGGGTCCGAAGGTGTACCTGATAATTGCTTTTTTGGCAGATTTTGAGCCTCAAGCAACTTTCAGGGGTCAGTAACTAGCAAACTGCATGATGATGTCGATGGGGTACTGGGGACAATAGCATGTTGCCGGGCTTCCCTATTGATGCCGAGTGACATTTGAATGGCGAGCGTTCAGGGTAGGAGCAGTTGAACCGAGGCAGCAGCAGCAGCAGCAACAATACTACCATTATCAAGGGATTTCTGACACCCCCCATCATCCAACGTCTCTGTTGTTGCCATTGCGCACCTTTAGGATAGGTTGGAGGGTAGGAATGTAGACATTCACTCGACGGTGACGCTAGGCATTTGCCGACTGCCCAAGCCAAATTCTCCAGCCACATTAACTTGTCGTCATCTGTTGCCTTGTTGAAAACGTTAAGAGACAACACCGACAATGTCCCATCTCTAGACTACCAGAGTCGCGCCGTAGGAACCCTCGATGCACTCATCAAAACTTTAAAGTTGTCCGAAGTACGCTCTAGACGTTCCCCAGCACGTGGCAGCGGATGTAGTTCCGATCGACGCTATGTTGGCGAGATGCCGATTCCCGTCCACAGGCACCATCATGATGGTGCATGTTTAAACTTCCCGCCCACAAATACCATCAAGATCGTGCATGGCTAAACTTTGTCGGTGCCATGAACTCGGGAGCATCTCCGCAGATGGTGTTTGAGATCCTTTAACTATGCCTCGCGGACCAGCATATGTATTTCGAGCAGCACGCAGTCCACTCTCGTAGTCGCAAACAACACTCATTCGCTACGAGAGCGCCTCCAGTAGACGCCATGCTGAACGATCTTTACCGACCCGGTGTCGTGAGCGAGCCTTGGGGACCACTCATCTCACCCGATTACACAGAAGACGAGTTCACCAACCTCGATGTCCTTGTCGCTTCCATTCCATGGGCCCTCACGTTGGCAAACGTCATACTCGCTTTGTGGCAGATCTACCATCAAACCAAATTGGCGAAAACTCCGATTCGAAGTCCTTATTTATGGATGGCCTGGTTGGAGCTGGGGGCTTGTTTTGCGTTGGGTCTTGTTGGCTATCTGCATGTGCTGAAACACATTCCAGCGAGTGAGTATCATCCGCGCCCTCGAAGACACTATGCTGATAGTTTACAGGTTTTGCTTTCTACTTTGCAATTTGTCAGTCGCATGTATCAAACTGATCCTACCACAACTGTGCTGATTCTGTATAGTGACTTTCTGGAGCTTCCAGGTTATGCTTCTTTTCCAGATCATCGTCAATCGCATCAGAGTTATTGACGTTAATCGCATGCACGGCGATCGCATTTTCATTGCAGTGACTGTCTATATCACAGTAGTCATTATCAGCGGCTTCATTATCTGGATACCAGCCCGGATGCAAATAAGCCACTATTGGGAGTTCATCAGCGCGGCTTGGGATCGCACTGAGAAGTGTCTATTCCTCATTATCGATTTGGCGTTGAACTGGTACTTCTTGAGAATGGTGAAGAACAATTTGATCCGCAACGGTCTCACAAAGTGTAAGCCAGTTCATGCGAATGCTATACTACAAGGTTAGCGCTGACAGTTATACTTACATGCAGACAACAAAATCGTTCAATTCAACCAGCGCATCATCGTTCTGTCGATTCTAATGGATGTTATGCTTATCGCCGCTACCGCTATACCCAAAGCCTTTGTGTAAGTCACTCTTCATCATTGCGTCTAGTCCTATCTTAACGATTTGCCATCTCAGCTACGTTCAATTCCATTCGCTGTGCTACCTCGTCAAACTCAACATCGAAATGGCCATGGCCAACCTGATCAGACGCATCGCCATCTCGAACTTCAACCGCACTGGTGCAGTACACGAGTTCAAGGACCCATCCACCCATGCATCGGAACCTTATAGCAATACTTTCGCCTCCACCCGGGGCAGCGTCCAGCTCGGCAACATCGGCAAGAGCGCCCATGCCTATGACTGCAACATCAAGGCCACGACACAATACACTGTGACTTCAGAGCCCAGTTTATCCCCAAAGGATAGTCGCCGGCCTTCACATGTCGAGGTGGAGATCTCGAAGGGGCACACGGACAACTATGGCGCGATGAACCGACCGGTGATTGTCATTGAAGAACCGGAAACGAAGAGCTTGGACGGCGCGACAGAGGTCGCAGAGAGTTACCATACTGACGATGAGGCTGTGCTCGTGAACAAGAGGGGCCATTGGTGATTCAGATCCTGTTGATCTCTTCGCAACACCTGCTCCAATGAGGATTGCAATACAACTCAACCTTGAAAACATTCGCATCGCGGCGAAATGCCATACAGAAATACCTTCAATCGACTGGCTCTCCATGACACCGTCACCCGTACCAGTCGTGGCAGCTTTGAGCCTACTTTATGTTTGCAGTATGAAGTACTTGTCCATAACTTCAACGAGACCAGTGGGTTGTGCCACCACAAGGATGCTGGGATATGGTGTGTAGCCGATACAGGAGGAGCAATTCTGGTCATTTGATGAGGATGACAGTGGTAAGACTATCGTGTTCCATAGTCTGGCTAAAATGTCGTTTTATCTAATCGTAATGATAACAAGCGGTATCGCCAACGCGTGATTATGCCCAAGTCTCATACTTTGACGCACAATATCCTACGGGTCCATGGCTCCATCGAGGACTGACATCATCGTTGTCAAACCGAACGATCGGAGATAATATTGAGTGCATCTTGCCATATGCCGTATCGTTGAAAGTGACCATGTATCCATCACGGCGCAGAAGGTCCGAATGGCTTGACCAAGCCTCCCCAAGGATGTAGAGAAGATCTTCCACGTGCAGGTCCGGTGTCATGGGTTTGAAACCATACTTGTCCTGGATTCTCTTCATTGTATCCGGCGAATACAATCCAAATGCCTCTCCCAGTTGTATTACATCCACCGACGTTAGGACTGAGGTGGCGTGATATGATCCGCCCTTAGTTGCGCGATCACGTAGAGCAAGGAGAACGTTGACGACACCGACCGCGCCAGCTAGCATGTCGGCAACGGGAAGAGCAGGGAGGACACTGACACCGTCCTCGAATCCATAAGCTTTGCCACAGACATAAGAGCACCCAGAAGCGGCATCGGCAATCTGCTGGAATCCCGGGCGTTCTGCGTAGTAGCCATCCGGTCCATAGGTATTGAGATCAATGTAGACGATTCCTTTGTTACGTTGCCTCGACATCTCAACCAAGTCCTGTAGCCCGAAGCCCTTCCGCTCGAGAGAGCGTAGCCTGAACGCTTGGATTATGACATCCGCATCCGCCATAAGGTCAGTCAAGGCTTGCCTGTCGTCCTCTTTCTGAAGGTCCAACGCATATGTACGTTTACCAGCGGTAAGCGTGATACTCAAAGGCTAGTGAATGTCAGATCGATGTAATTATAGAGCGTAGAGCGCCTCGTACCTGCAGATCGGGGAGGTCGGGGCTTTGAACTTTGATGACGTCCGCACCCAGGGCTGCAAGAGCCGCTCCCATTGCTGGACCAGCGATTACGCGGGCTAGTTCAACGACCTTGATGCCGGTCAACGGGCGAGCATCACCAGTCTGTGGAAAGGGTACGGGTGGCAATGCCGAAGTGCCCTTGACCTGCGCGTAGTCGATCAAAGGATGCGTAGCCAGTCGCTTGCCCATCGACGTTTCTGCCCAGTGTTGTGGCGTGAAGCAAGTCTGCCCGCAAAATCCGTTCTCCATGTTTTTAATGTCAAGTTCGGCGGCTGAATACTTGGAGATGGTGGATTTGATCAGCTCATACGCCTCTTCTCTGGTGCCAACAGGGGCTTCTCCGTCGATATCGTAGACCTTGAAAAATGCTGGGGCGTTGAGGTTACTCATTACCTGATACCAGATGCGAGGATCCCGAGTTGGGTAGATGGCCCACGAGCGAATGTACATGTGATTCTTGCTGACGCAGCCCTTGTCAACATCCAGACTGGCTTTTGTAAGGGTGCCATCGGTCTTGACATCACCGAGTTCTTTACCGTCGATGTCGACGAGGGCTACGGTGGCAGGGTACAGACCACACTTGTCAGTGTCGATGTGAATTTTACCCGTTTGGATGCCCTTAAGTGCGCTGATCTCTTTGGCAACAATGCCGATCATGGCATGTAGAACGGCGGACTACGCAAAGAGAGTGAGCACATGGTGATTTTTGAAATTTAGGGAGGAATGAGTACGCACAAAGACCTGCGATTTCAAGGGTCCTGGGATGATGGGTAGTTCCCCCCCAGAGAATTCGACATCATTCAGGGCAGCCTCCTCGGTCGTGAAGCCAGGTGTGATACCAGCCAGATGTTTCAGTAGCCTACTCGCATCGGCAGGCACACCAATGAAGTCGCGATCAACGAATGTTCCAGGGCCAAAGGCGTCCTTTGTCGTTTGATGTACAGCCATGACGAGGGTACAATCGTGCTTGGAGAACGTTGATAGTAGCTAAGCGGTGAAGGAAACGAAGAGAATGCTTCTCTGAAAAGTAGAAGGATGTGCAGGAAGGAACTCTGTAGACATTGGTGACATTTATAATGTATGGATGAACTCCTTTTTGGAAACAACCATTGTGTAACGATACCTGGGAGTCCGCAGCCAATCGTATTGGGAAGGGTAACATTCCATTGGCGGCTGTGGCTTACGCCCGTAGACGGTAGTAGCATCTTCGAACGCCGAAGTCTTGATGCCAGGTGCAGCGTCTAGGCTGCGCCTGCAGAACAGAATGTCAGCACGTTGGGTGAGGCCCGGGGGAGCCGATCGAACCACGTGAAGAGCTTTGGCCTCGGTTGGGCCTCTTTCCCGGCTCAACGTCCCATTGGCTGACGGCCAATCTTGCCTCGGCACCGCCAATTGGCTCTCATCCATGGATTGGTTGGGACGGTGTTCAATCTGTTCTACTATCAAGTGATGATGATGTTTGGAGACCAAACCTTGCATGATGCAACGTGCAATGTCGTAGACTCTCTAACAGAACTCGGCCGACCTTTCGGGCGAGCCATGGGAAGATCCGATGCGACACTGGTTGCAGCTCATTCGCAGGCAATACTCCTCAGTAGGTCTTTTGAGCGGATATACTATGTTGACGCTGTTGAACTTCGTGCGAAAAAGAAAGGCCTGTACTAACGCTGGTCGCAGCTTCCCGGCCCTCACCGTGTAGGCACACCATCTGAATGTACACCTCCATGTAACAGCCCGGCCGATGCGTACCAAAGTCGATTCAGTTCCTGCGATCGCATTAAAGGGACGACGGCCCCCATAAAGTAACCATCCAATCTTTCCTCACAGACCTTTGCAACCATCCTTCGCAGTCTTGGAACTCTGGTATCTTTCGAATATGTCCATTCGTACCGTCGGTGTTGTTGGCACTGGCGTGATTGGAGCATCGTGGACCGGTCTCTTTCTCGCTCATGGCCTGCGTGTGATTGTTGCAGACCCGGCACCTGGCGCAGAGGAGAAACTGGCGTCCTATCTGGAGAGTATCTGGCCTGCGCTAGAGACCATGGGTCTTGATGAAAAGTAATTGCAACACTAGACTCATCCGGTGTGCCACAAGCTGATTCGAACTCTCCATCCAGCGCTTCGCTTTCGAACTACCAGTTTGTAGGCGCGACTCTAGGCAGACACTACAAAGACGTGGACTTTTTGCAAGAGGTGAGTGCATATAATCAGCTGCTCTACAAGTTCACCATCTAATAGGATGGCACAGAATGCGCCCGAAAGGCCAGATCTTAAAACCAAACTTCTTGCCGAGATCGACGCGGCTGTTCGGCCAGATGTTGTCATAGCCTCTTCATCTTCAGGTATTCCAAGCTCGAAATTCATCAGCCAGTGTCAGCACCCCGAACGAGTACTCATTGGCCACCCGTTCAACCCACCTCATCTCATGCCACTTGTGGAAGTCGTCCCACATTCAAACACAAGTGCGTCAGCTATCTCAAATGCGATGGCCTTTTACGAGTCCGTGGGACGGCGTCCTGTTCACATCAAGGAGGAAGTACCCGGCTTTGTCGCCAACCGCCTTCAAGCTGCCCTTTGTAATGAAGCATACAGCCTAGTGGCTCGTGGTATAGTCACCGCCCAGGACCTTGGTGAGTTTCTCGTCTTCCGCATGTCTTCCTTGGTTTGCTGACCACAGGTGCCCAGACGCTTGCGTCACTACTAGTCTGGGGCCTCGGTGGGCCATGGTTGGGCCATTCCTGGCAAATGCAATGGGAGGAGGTGGTGGCAGTGAAGGGTTTAAGCACCTTCTTGAGCATCTAGGACCTGCAAGCCGAGTCTGGGTTGAGGATATGCAGGAACACAAGTTCGACTGGTCACAGGATAGCATTGATGCATTAGGTTCAAGCGTTTCCGACGAGCTTCAAGGTAAAGACGTCCAAGAGCTCGAGCAAAAGCGGGATGACGACCTCGTCAAGTTCTTCAAGATCAAGGGCATGAGGCGTACAAGCTTCCATGGTATTGCACTTTAATTCCATCGATCCCGTAGCACGAGTACCATTCCTGCCCACATCACAATTGCGCATGCAGCAGCGACCGTGCCGCCTACCTCGCCGCGAAACTGCAGGGATACCCCGCATACTAGCGTCTTGAAGTGCCGGACGAACTGCTTTCTTTTACTACTTGGCGCGGCCTTTCCAAAAGGCAATACATCTACCAACGTTGACTCATACGTACAAATCTACCCAAGCCACTCCTTATCTCTGTTTTCCCGACCGCTATAGAAAACATTTCAGATTTCCTCGACCACCTTTGCGAGGCGGAAGAGCATCGAGTACAGCTTCTGGTCCACGGGTACGTTGGGGCTATACGATTTACAGAACATATTATGGCCCTGGCTATAATGAGCAGTGGAAGAGGCTGCTCAAGAACATCACCGATGGTGTGGAACGAGGTCTCCCCGAGATGGAGGGGGCAGATAAGATGCCTGACGCTGTCGCAAAAGCAAGGGATCAGTTTCGACTTGATGCACGCTCACTTCCCACCACCTTGAACGACTTATCGATGGAAGACGTCCGTCAAGTCTATCGGGAAGAAAGTGGGGGTCAGCCGATGAGAGGGCTACAGTGTAACAACTGGCAGAACGCCATCTTCCTGTTGGCGGATGCTCAGGTGCTACAAGATCCTGATCTCAGCCTGGTCAAAGTTTTGGACGCGGACTACGACCCTGTTCGTGCTGTGCCCACTAATCCACGGTATGGTCCACAGCGAAATTTTGAATGGTTGACTATCCCAACCACAGCCGTTTTGGACTTCTACAACTATGTGGACATGCCCTTCACGTTTGACGAGCTTGAAGATCTGGCTGGGAAGGGGAGACATTGGGATCCATACGAACAGAAGTGATAGACTACATCTGTGTGTCGGAGGTGGGTAGAACAGAGAAAATGAAGTCATGGTCACTGCGAGAGGGCAGTTGCAACGCTCACCAAGTGCAGACATCCCTGGGGCAAAAGTGTATTTGAGTGAAGTGTATTAATGCAAGTCTACCAACCAACCCCACCACGACTACCACCTTTACCGATTTCCATGCCTTGGTAGTCTCAATCAACGTCCATATTACGATCTACTTCCATCCCTTCGCTCATAGCGATCCAAATAATTATCCCGAAACCAGTTAAAGGCACCCTGTCCAAGTAACGCACCAATAATGTAGCATGTCAACCTATCAAACCGAGAACCGTCCCAAGAAGCTCCCTGTGGTAGCCTCTGTTTTCTCTGCTCTTTCTCCTGCCGTCCCTTCTCCTGTCGTCCCTTCTCCTGCCATCCCTTCCCCCGCCGTTCCCGCCGCTGCGTCCGCTCGCGGACGCTTTCAACATCATGCACCAGACTCCGTACAACCCGTTTCGCCTCGCGCTCAGGTACCTCATGTTTTGCAGCAAGCTGCTTGATGAGGAGTTTCTTTATCAAATCCGCCCTTTCGCGGCGGGCGGCTTCGAGGTTCTTGGTGCGGACAATGTAGTTTTGTTCGCTGTCGGCGCCGGAGTAGTCTGTTGGTGTGGTGGCTGCGCGTGTGAGATAGTATTTTTCTATCGCTTTGACTAATTTGTCGTCTGGCAGGAATGGTCCTCCAGTGAGGGGCGCTTTGAGGTAGACACGCTCGTGTGCTGTAAAGGGGCAGGTGGCGCAGTGGAGTGCTGGGTTGTGGGCGATGCGTTCTGCAACGCGTTTTGAGACGGGCGTTGCAGAAGAGGACGCCAGTCGTAGTTGTCGCGGAAGTAGGCTTAGAACAGGCATTGTAGAAGATGCCAGTAGTTGTCGCGAAAGTGGTCCTAAGGCGTTTAAGATGCGTGTGCGCATAATGGGTCGAAGAAACGACATTATGATGAGACTTGGTTGTTTTGATACTTAAGACGACCTCGGGAGATGATTATGGCTATGTGAGCTGTTTGTAGAGTTTTTCTGTATGCCATGTAGGCAGCAGGATGATATTCATCCGGTCGTGACAGTCATCTGGTTCTCTGCGGTTTTCCGTTACAGTACCACGGTTCCAGGGAAGACACACCACCACCAACCTTGACACATCGGAAGGAACCGGCTTGGATGCTACCAATCCAGCCCTCCGGACAGGTTATGGTAGTAATCGCGTATGGAAAGAAATGTTCGCGGAGATAGAGTGTGTATGCCATTCACATACACTGGCTGGGGCGCCGGGTTGGCGGACGCGCTTGTGGATGATAGGCTCAGAGACGATCTTGATAACCAGGTAGATGTTCAAAAGATATAGTGTGACACGCAGTAAAGGAACAAGAACAAGTTGTAGCCAAAGGGGGGCAGGCAAAGTCGCCAAACCAACCACTTTTCTATTTCATCACCACCACGACTATCTAGTGTCTACTACCACCAAACTCATCTACATGCTTTCTAAGGATATCATAGCTCTCGCAATATACGCTCACCAACAAACCAACGCAAGCGAATGACGTGAAAAAATGCTGTAGAAAGATGCTTATGTGACTGACGTCTATCCAAACAACCATCATATACACAACCAAAAAGGAAACCACCGGGACCCGCCCAAGCAGCAATGACGATGCGTGAGTGGATGACCAGTGGGAAGAGAATAGACAACGTTCCCCTGTCATGTCATATACACATCCACCTCTTTCGCAGGCAGGCAAGGGGATGACAAAGCCTACAAGAAAGGCAGAACCACACCCTTCCTCATCGGACTGCCCCTGCCATCCACCGTGCTCCCCTCAGCACTGTATCCAGAATCGCGATCAACGTCGTCATTATCAAAGTCGATGTCGAAATCCGGTTCTTTTTCCTCCTCAGCCTCTTCGCCGTCCTCATCACCGTCCCAAGCTTTCTGTGTCGCGCCGCGCGAGTTCCAGCGGAGCGTGCGGCTGATGCTATCGAACCACTCGGTGGGCTGGGAGAGGACGGTGGGGAAAGGGTATTGGGACGCGGCGATGGTGACGTGGTCGCCCTGGCGGAGCTCGACGCGGCCCTTGCCGTCGAAGGCGCAGTAGGCGGTTGCGCGCGACTTGAGGGGCACGGCGATGCGGAGGAGCATGCTGTCGTTGAGGAGCATGGGGCGGAAGGAGAGGGTGTGCGGGCAGATGGGGGTGAGGAGGATGGCAGGGATGTCTGGGTGCACGAGCGAGCCGCCTGCGGAGAGGGAGTAGGCGGTTGAGCCCGTGGGCGTGGAGAAGATGACGCCGTCGGCTTGGACTACGGTCAGCAGGTTGTTGTCGCCGTAGAGCTCGAGGTTCGAGACGTAGGGCGATGGGCCGCGGTCGATGACGAGCTCGTTGAGGACCTCGAATTGCTCGGCTTCAATGTGCGAGGGTGAGCCTTGGGCCGCGGCGTTCTTCTGGTACCGGTATACCGTGCATGTGAAGCGCATGCGCAGGTTCACGCGCATACCCGTTTCGCACATGATCTTGTCGAGCGCGGGCCTGTACTGTGCGAACTCGAAGTTGGTGAGGAATCCGAGGCTGCCGAGTGAGAAGGAGAGGATCGGTGGCACGATGCGCTGGAAGAGCCATGAAGTGAAGAGGACGGTGCCGTCTCCACCGAGAGTAAGGACAAGGTCGAAGATCTCAGGGGTTTCCCAGCATAGATCCGGTGTCCACCAGCGGAGCATGTTCTCATAGCGTTTGTCCTTGGCCAACAGCGAGGCTGCGTCGAAGCGCTTCGACTTGCGCAGCTTGTGGTCTACGTAGACATTCACTCCCACGTCTGAGCCGTAGCGCGAGGTCGTCATGAGCCATTCTGCCAGCTCGCGCGTGAGGTATACAAGGTTGTTATCGCGCGCCTTGGTGACAATCATGACATTGCGCACCGTCATCTTGATGGGTCGGCGCTGCAACTGCTTCGAGACCTCACGGACGCTGTTCGCGGTCTGCATGAGCCTCGAATGCGATATCGTGTCGTCCTCGGCATCGCTCATCTCTTCCATGACCTTTCCAAGGTTCACGGCCTTGTCAAACTTCTTGTGGAAGAAGCATGGGGATGCGAGCGCAGCCATCTTGCTGGCGGAAAGGTCGGCCGAATGCAGTTCCAGCTCGTTGAGCGCCTTTGCGAGTTGCGAGTGCGTGATGCTCTTTGAGCGCGCACTCTTCCCTGCACTCTCCATTATGGCGGTGTCCATGGACTGTGACGTCGACGATGGTGGTGGCCGAGACTGCAACGCCTTAAGAATGGTCTGGCGGGGGATCGCAGAATCGATGGAGCAGGCGTTCTTGCGGTGCTTCCGGATGCGATGCTCGCCGAAAGAGGGCACGCGCGGGAGGACGGAGAGGTTCTCGATGGACGAGGACTTGGTGATAACGGTGGGGTCGTCGTTGCGGGAGGATTCGTCCGAGGTCAGACTGGCTGGATCTTGTGTTGCAGCGGGCGTACCGCCAATTTCTTGCGTTACTACCGATGCATTATACGGCGCGTCCTGGGGGCAGTGGACGCTGGTCTGCGGAGGCTGTGGAGACTCTGGGCGGGTGGGATTATTAAATGAGGCATCGGCATCGACGGGGTTAAGGTCGGAGAAACTTGAGTTGGGCGCCTGTGGGGACAGGAGCGGATGAACCTTGGCCGGACTAAACGGCTCCCCATTCTGGTATGTTGCCGATAACATCGTCGCTTGATTCTGTCTTAGTGATCGAGCTTCGTTAAGCGCGCTTGGTGTGCAGGTTGGAGAGTGCGATATTAATCGGCGTCGTTATTCGGTTGCGGCGGCAAGTATGTTCGCGAAGTATGTACAGCGAAAGATGAACGTATCCAGACAGTTCGGTCAAAGGTAATAAATGCTCCAGGCAAAATGAAAAGGAGAGGAAGGAAGCGAGGGATTGTACTACTGCATGGGCGCGAGTCGTGACGTTGTGTGATGGCTGCTAACGGTGATCGTGTAACCCGTCGTGGAAGTAAAGATTATATTGAAGGAAGAGCCCGGCTCGACCTTGTACAAAAAAGAAGAAGAAGACGTGAAGTGTGCACGACGGTGTCGTGACCGAAAGAGCGAAGGCGCAGG